TCATTCACCCCGTCAGTACAGCCCTCCAGGTCCACAAACCTTTCCCCTGATTCCCTCATTTCCAACAAACTGCTTTCATTGATACATTACAGAAACCAAAAGGCAAAATGAGTTTGTATATGCATGACAATTTCACTTCTGCCAGTGCCCAGCATCACAGCTCTCCAATATCCAGCAAACACCACCCTCAGACCAGAAAATCAGCTGAAATGTGACTTCTGTGAGGGCCCCAGTGTGGTTCCTTGCTGAAGCAGTTATTGTCCATTGAATTATGAAGAGATGAAAACCCTAAGCCAAAGACTTTATGAAACTATAAAAAAGAGTCAGCGAGCAGTCTCAGAAGCCAGTAATGGCATCCTATGTTCCCCAATTAGGAAGCAGAGAGTTACACTGAGTTTCAGGTCTCAGGTCATGTTTTCCAGCAGGCAGTTGTGAGCCAGGGACATCAGTGACATCTCCCTTGGTGTCAGGTTGGCTCTTACTTCATCACTGGATATCCTCTAATGCTTGGGATGGAAAACACTGCAGACGCCTGTCAGGGGGCTGGTGGGATGCTAGGTGGGGGCTGTGGTTGTTGATAGAGTGGGGGAGGCGTGGCCACTCTTGGCACACTCTCGGCTCTGGTTGTGCCAGTGCCATGGCATGCCCTTGCCACTCCCAGCCTGTGTTCCTGGAGCTCAGCTATTTATACTCCTTTATTTGCATTCCTTCTTCCTCCTGGTGTGTTTGTATGAGCCCCTTTTGGAGCTGTTGTGCACCACACAGAGCACTGGGGAGATGCTCGCAGGCTTCAGATCAGAGCAGTGACCTAAGTCCTCACGGCTCAGCAGACATCTCGCTCTTGCTGTGCCAATAAATGTGCCTTGTGGCTGACTGTGCCTTGACATCCTTGTGACTCAGTATAAAATATCAGCCATGGGTCCTTTTGCTGCTAGAGGAGAACTGGTGCTGAGCAGGTGATGCTCATGGAACAGGGATGAGTGTCCCCAACCTGCCTCTGGCCACAGAGTGATGCTACTTTGCCCGGAGCTGCTCCCTGTGTGGTGGATTAAAAAACCTGATTGGAACCAGCTCACTCCCAGAGCAGCCCTTCAGTGGGGCTAGACCATGCCAGGTCTATGTGCTGGTCTCTCTGTGTGTCAAGGACTCCTGTGTCCTCCAGCATGGCACCTGGCTCAAGCTGGCTTTGGGATTGCAGGGCACAAGGTCTGGCATCGCTGCTGCTGTGCTTTATCCACCAAACTTACTCATTTTAAAGCTGGAGATGCAAAAGTTGCTGATTTACCTCTGTTAGAAATGCTTTATTTATCCTGCTTTCTTATTAAGGGCAGGAATTCATCCCCCGCCTGCTGGTCGCTCTGTGGAGTGTCAGTGTTACTGTGGTATCCCATACAACAAAAACCTATTTATAGCTGAGCATTCTTGGAAGGGGGTTTTGATACCTTGTTTTCTGCAGTGAATTTTCTCTCCTGCAGGGTTCTGCACTCCAGCCTGCACAGGGAGATGTTTGGATAGAAGCAGAGCATGTGGCATCCATTCCCACATCGATGGCTGGTGTCCTCAGCATCTCTCTCCTGAGAATAATTTTCCTAGGAATTATGGCTGCTGATGTGTTATTTTGCTTTCTTGACCGGCCGCTTTTTTTTTTCCCTGGTAAAACTCCATTTCATTGATCTAACACTCGTGCTCAGTGTCAGCATTATAAAGTACCACTTAAAATATACACACAGACAATTACTTTATTACATCTGGATGTACAGCAACTACTCCTGAGGAAAAATGTTTCATCTGATACTCAGCGGAGTATGTTTAGCTGGGAAACACCATCCCAGTGCTTCAGGAAATGCCAAAATCCTGCCACTTTGGGAAATTTCATCCCAGCACTGCACACACCAGCAGAGCTCAGACTGCCCTAGGGCTTATTCCTCAGGGCACCCACAGAACAAATAGTACCACCAGCACCTGACTTCTGATTTTGGAAGGGAGCTGCATTCCTCTTACCACTTAATTTCCCTGTAAACTCTGCTGTTTGCATGATTTACACCCGATGGCTGACAAGGTCCAGGATCTGTGCCCATAGCACTCTCTCATGGATGAGGGATGGATATGGCAAAGCTGTGGGTGCACCCTGTGCCCCCAAAACTTGGCTGAGGGCTGGGCATCTCCCCACCATGACTTCATGGTGGATCTCTGGCATATTTGGCCATCTCAGGAGAAGGAAGAGTTCCTGCAACCAATACCAGTCCCAACTCATCCCCAAGCTAAGTTGCTATGGGAAAACGTACCTGGTTAAACTGTCCAGAGTTTGGGATGGGCAAGATGGCAGAGACAGTGCTCGTGAAACCCTCTGGATCAGCCAGGGTCGACACTGCCTGCAGTGGAATTTTCCCCTTGTTTTGTTGGTTAGTCATAGATTTGTTTATTTTTTTAGAGATTTTTTTTCTTATTCGTCTGTTGCAATCACAGCAGACACATCATTTCACAGCCCTACATGGAAATCCAAGACCAGGGAACTATTTTTAGTGCACAAAATGTCTCCTCTAAATGTATTAACTTTGGAAGAGTAAATATTAAATATGGTCTCATCACATTAGAGACATTTATGCAGAAGTACAGCACCAGCGGTTTTAATGGTTAGGGGAAATTATGTTATGCTATCAGCACTTAATCAAACACAATAAAACAAGATCTTACTGCAATTCTTTCAGGACAAGCTGAAGGCAAATTAATTCCTTTTCACATCTGTTGCTAATGATTTACTGACACTGGCTATTTGACGCATTAGTATTTATGGTGGCACTTGCAACCAGTCTGCAAAACATACAGGGACTAGCCTAACATTTATTTTGCAATTAAATTGATTCTTTGGCTACTTGCTCCAAACCAAGGTATTCAGCACCATCTGTGATGAGGATACTATAGGCAAGCCCTGAGTGAGCACCATAGCGAAGCCCTACGCACTCTAACTGCCTACAAATTTAAGTTTAGTAATCGTTTTTTGTAACTTTATTGAGGAATCATTTCTCAAGTTGGGCTGCAGGATAGTGTGGTGCTGCAGGTGGAGCCCTGTGCCCTTTGTGAGCAAGTCTGCCTGTCCCTGCTCTGCCAGCAGTGCCCCTTGTGGCTAGTGGCTCTCCTCTGGTGATGGGCAGCAGGGTTGCTGCCTGGGTTTGGTACTCAGGGTTTGGGTCCTGGCCTTGTGGAACTCCCTCCTGCACCTCACTCTTCAAAAGCCAGCTTGGGGTTTCGAAGGTGTCTGTCTAAACAGAAAGATGTCAGATACGAGCTGTTGGGCTGTTCTTGGTGAGTTGGTTTGGTTGTCAGTTTGGTTATTTTATCTCCTGTGAAATGTGGTCTCTGGGAGAGGAGGCAACATACAGAGATGATGCAGTCTTTTTAGCAACTCCAAATTCTCTCTTCTTTTGCTTGCAGGCATTTCTGTTCCATTCCCCATGCCCATTTCCACAATACATCCAGCTAGACCATCCCAGCCATCTCTGGTCTAGTGCACGTGCCAGCAGGCAGGGATGCATCTTCTCAGGAATGTGGCTAGCTCTCTCTTCCATGAGCCTTAAATATTTTGGAGACAAAATCCTTACCAGTTTGTAAAGATGATGCTCATGTCCTCCAGCATCAGATCTCTGAGATCCATCTGGGCTTGTCATCACCTCCTTGGACATTTTGGGGCTGGGAAAGGGGTTGCTGTTTCAGGTTGAACAGTAACAGTCAGACTGGCCTTGCTCTCTGCTTTACAGAATTCAACTCCTGAGTATCTCCCTGCCTAGAACAGGTGAAAAACTTGCTACAGAACTAGCTTTTTGACAGGTTCATGCACGTTGCAGTGGGCATCACACCTGTACCGAGGGGCTCTGGGGACTAGATTGGAGTTTGAGTTCATCACTGGGATGCCTGGAGAGCTGTGAGCAAGAACACAGCCCAATAACAAAATCCTTAGCTTGCAATAAACCAATCCTTTGCCTTTTCATTGAAGAGCTAAATGTAAGGTCATGGTAGTTGCCTCCACCTCCCAGAAGACCCATCTCAGATGAATGATTTTGGTCTGTCTTCGCTGTGCACTATGACCTGCCCAACTAGTCACTTACCAAGAAACCAAACGAAGTATGTTTACTAAACAGCTCATTCTCCTTCAGCAGTTTGGGCACTTGGACAATTTTACACAAGAAAAATGTGCCAGTAAAGGCCAAAAAAGGTAAAAGAGAAGAGCCATTCCTTGATGACTCGAATATTTGCTGAAACAAGGCAGCATCCTTGCCTGTGGCCTCCAAACCAGCCAAGCATGCACAAGATTTGGACCCAAATCAAGTTTTTAAAGCTGTGTGAATACCCTGTGCTCCCAGCACACTTCACAGGTGGAGGGTCAGATCGTCAACCGCAGCCTGTATCAGCAGTCACAGAATGGTCTGGGCTGGGAGGGACATTAGAGATCCTTTAGTTCCAATTCCCTTCAATGTGCAGGGATGCCACTCACTAGACAGGTTGGTGGTAGCAGCAGGGTACAAGGAGTGTCTCACAAACAAGAACACATTGCTGGAATATTTTTGATTTCACAACTTGCTTTTGCTCCCATGAATAGTGTGTTTCCCTGCCTGTTAAACCATCTTCTGGTTCAAGAAGCTGTTCCTGTGAGCATCCTGTCTCGCAGCAGGATTTCCTCTGTGGGCTTTGCTACAAGTCTGCAAAACAAGATTGAAATCTCCACAAGAAAGGTGGCTACCTTGAATTACAGAAACTTTCAGGCATGGGGAACTTTATGAACATCCTCTTGCTTGGGCTTGCCCTTCCAGCTGTGACACACATCTCCAGCTGTATTTCCCAAGAGCTGGCAGATTTGGTAAAGGAAATGCAATGGGAGTTCAAAAATTTGCTACTCGCAGGCAGTGGCTGCATCAGCAGGGCTGGATCAGCCCTGCATCCTCAAAGAGCTGCATCCCTGGGATGAGTTTGCTCTGTGTGACCATGCTCACTACACCGACAGCAGGTACACAGAAAACACTGCTTTATTGAGTGCATTTGCCAACACATTGAGGAATGCAAAGGGCTTTTTTTTGTAAGCAATGGGCCATGGTCCCAATGTGTATTACAGCATACACTGTATCTAAACAGGATGAAAGTAACAGCAGACAGAGCTATTCCAAGGCAACACAAATAGCATGCATAATACAGTCTCACACAGAACAAGTTTGGTAACATTATATTGCTTTAAGGATTAACTAACATGGGAAATGTACAAAAAGGAGAAATAGGTTTTTGCATTAATGAAAAATACATTTTTTCTCTACAAAGGAATTTCTAATACAAGAAAATAAATATTGCAACATAAGCAAAAATAATTTAAAATTGCTCTTTTCAATATATTTTCAATATTTCTCTTTTGTATTAACAAATGGCACATCACGTTCTTTGAAACAAAGAAAACAGAAGGGTTTCTCCTCCTGCGACATTCATATCGTTTCCTGTAACTGATGTGAAGTGGGTTGTTTTCAATGTGGAATGGTGCAAACTGCAGGGGAATTCCTTAAAGAACAACCAAACCTCATGCCCTGCCCTGTAGCAGCATCTTCTTGCAGCCTGCTTCCATCTTACCTCCATTCTGCATCCAACCTTGGGGTGAGCTCCACGGGACAGCAGAGGCATCCTAACCCCATAAAACAGGTGCAAGGGAAAAAAAAAAAGAAAAAGGAAAAAATCAAAAGTTGGGTGTGGGGAAAATGGGTGTGGCATGGGAGCTGTCCTGGGGAAACCCCCTCAGCCATCAGGGCTGGGGCTGGTGTGGGACTGTGCTCCATGAGGGAATGATGCTTTCTGTATCCTTATCTCAACAGTGGCTGCTTCTCCAAGGAAACAGGTGCTTTTACAGTGCAAATGTTGATTCCTGCAGTTTATACATCTTAAAAGATAACATTTCTGTACTAAAATAGACTTTTTTCTTCTCTTTCTATTCATTTCAAAATACATTTACATTAACATAAAAAATATTTTCCTTGTGCATTTTCTCTCCAGAACACCAGACTCCCCTACTCCAAGGACACTCCAGGCAGGGGATGCTCTGAGGTGGCTGCAGCTATCCTGCCATGGTCCAGCCCTTGCTCAGCCCCACAGCTCACCAGAGCCCTTTTCCTCCTCTTTATTCCTGCCATCCCATTCTTCTCCCTGCACCCCATCAGCACTCAGCTTTCCCCTCACCTCCTGATGTCAAAATATGATCCTGATGTTCTGGGAGTGTTTCAAACTGTGTTATTGCCCAATGCTAGAGGTTGGTTGTTCTTTAAAGTTTCCCCCTTTTTGCTTTCCTGTACTGAGAAGACAAGTAGTGCAGAAGCTGATGAATGGGAACTGTGTACAGTGAAATTTGTGGATTGCTTTTTTTTTACCATAATTGAGTGAAGCACACGGAAGCAAGATTCATTAAAAGGCAGCATATTGATTATTGTTATGACTCGTATACTAGGATACTGGAGCTAAAGCTAGCAAGCCTGATAAGATAAACTAAGTCCTATTTACGGTATTTAACATTATCTGAACATACTGAGCCTTAATGACATTTCCAACCTCAATGAATTATGCTAATTTATAACAAAGGTGGTTCCTGTTTTGTTGGTATTTTGCTGTTTTTTTCTTTTTTTGTTTTTTTCCCACTAATAACTTGTGTCACATTTTTCCCATGTGAGGATGATTCCTCCCCAGGCATGGTCAGTCTCAGCCAGATTGGGCTTAGGCAGGGCTGGGCATCCCACCCGAAGCCCCCATCAGTCACCATGTCTGGGATCAACTGGGCTGTCATCGCTGATCTTTGCTGCAATTTTATCAATAATAAGGACTTTGGAAGGCTGATAAAGATGATGACCTACTCTAAAACATCAATCAAAATAGTCTCAGAGTTTCAAAAAGAAAGCTCACAGTGAAATGAGCAAAAAGCATTGGAAACCAAAATGGTAGGATGCGGTCTCGGAGCAGCAGCATCCCTCGGAGCAAGCCTGGAACCTAACGCCGCAGCAGTGTGGTATGAGTGTGTCTTTTGTCCTTGGTTGCTAAATAACTTCCAATTTTTTCATAATGACAAGTTTCCGGTTTCTGGCTGTGCTGCTTGACTGTCAATATATTTCTTTGGCATCCACAAAATTCTTTGACTGATTGGTTTGACAATTGCAAGGATTTTTTTGTTTAGTGATGGATTTAACCAGTTGCAGAAGTGTCCCAGGTATTGGGTTGGTTTTGTTTTTTGTTTTGTTGGTTTTTTTTTTTTTTTTTTTTTAAAAGTTTTTTTTTCATTTTTTTTTTTTAAAAAACAACAACAAAAGTTTCAGTGAATTCCTTTTTTTTTTGTTCCCTGAGCTCACACTGGGGTCACTCCAATAAAACACGTAGCATGACTTAACTGTGACCTTTGAAGCCAAAACCAAAGTAATGGTGCAATTAAGTGCAAATATGGAAATTCGCCTGACTTATAGGTAACATGGGCTTTTAAACAACATTTAAGGCTTACTGGGGACGTTTTATGCATTAAATTACTGTAATACTTATAACGTCAGCTTCTGTGAATCACCCCTCCACAATGAGTCAACAGCTTGTAACCAGGATTTAAGGTTAAAAAAAAACCAAACCAAAACAAAGGATGGAGAGGAATAAATTCACCATTTTCATTGTAGCATTTAGTTGGAAAACACAATGGTGGTGGCAAGGGTTGACATTTCCCCTCAGTGATGGCACATTTGGCCTTGAGGCCATGGTTTTGGTTTGCAAGGAGGATTTCAAATGTGCTGCCCTGGCATGGTGGGACCACAGCAGCATTGGAAAGAAGCATGGGCAAAAAAAATTGCTCAGCCTCCCAGGTTACACCAACCCTGACTCCCCACAGTGGTTTTAAAGGACGCTTTCTTCCTCCATCCTGCCCCACATCTCCATTTTCCACTTGCTGATCCATTCAACTGAGTAAATGACTTCAGAGTTTCTAAGAACCTCAGTGGGGACATGGATGGGGAGGACGTTTGCATCCTGGCCCCTGGACGGATCCCAACCAAATGGAAAGGTAAAGGGAAAAATGATGAAGGGTTTTTTCCCTAAAAACAGAAATGTAACATTGCTCTCTTCCACCCCAAGCGTTTTCCTCCAACAAGCTTTTTGTGCTTTAGTCGTTTTTTATTTTAGAATCGCTTACTTTGCTTTCTTCTCTCTGCACACACAGGTCGGAATTCCCCCTCCCACAGCTGGCCACTGCTGAACACTCTACTCACTCCCTGCTCTGAGGGCAACCATCCCAGGCAGAAATCTGCCCCTCATTAAATAATGCCCATTTATTGAACTGTCATCTCTGCAGAAAGCATGGGTACCAGCACCCTCCACACTCTCAGCACCCTCGACATCAGTCCTGGCGGGTGCTGGCTCACATTCCCAGGAAGTGGGGTCTGGCAGGGAGCTGGGGAGGGACCACTGCTGTCACAGTCATCGATGTTGGTGAAGCTAAAGCTGTATCTCAGGCGTTTTGAAAAAGAAAGACAACAGTGCCGAATTTCCAACTATATACACATATTAAAAACCCCCCTTGCCGTGCTACCAGGCAGAAATTGGACATGGCAGTTGGAACTGGGTTGAGGCTTCATCAAGCCGGTCTGGTCGGAGGAGTTAGGATGCCAGGATGCTCATCCTGACAATGTCCTCGCCAGCTGCATCCAGCTGGCCCCGCTGCGCCCGGCTGTCATGGGACTCCCCATCCGAGTCGCTCATCTCAGCGTCAGAGAAGTATCCGTCCGTGTCAGCGTCGAAGCGACGCAAGGGAGCTCCACCCGTGCTGTCAGCCTTGGGGGGCTGCGACCTCCGCGTCCCCCGGCTCTCCTTTGGTAATTTGAACCGCACGATGGTTTTGGGGCTACCTATGGAGTCAGGCACTTTGGCTGCGGGGCTGGGCTCCGTCTGAGCACAGTGCGGTGTCTCCTCCTCCTGGCTGACGCAGCCCCGTGTCCCAGCAGGGGGATGAGGCTCACTGGCTTTCTGGAGAGAGCCCTTCTTGGCCACCTTTTTGGCCTCACCTGTCCCTTTGCGGTCAGTGGGAAGCTTTGTTGCCCCTTTTTCTGACTTGCTTGGTCTGGAATCCAGAGTGAAGGGCTTGGTGGGATCATCTGAGAAGTGGCTGGCATTGTTAGTCCAGGGCTCCGAGCCCTCTGGGTGGCCCCCACCCGCTGCAGAGGGGCTGCTCCTTGGCGGCTTTTTCTTAGTGTTCATTCTCGTTCTGCTTTTCACTTTCTTTGTGGCCTCACTCTGCCTGAATGGGGACCTGAGGGAATGGTCCATCATGAAGCTCAGCAAGGTCTCCTCATCCTGGAGGAGCTCCTCGGAGAGGCCAGGGGTACTGTCCTCATGGTGGGCGTTGTTGAGTGACCACTCGCTCATCGCCATGTTCTCTGCGGTGATCTGCACTGACTGTGCCAACCAGCTGTTGAAGAAGGTCCCATCGATGGGGAAGGAGGTTGACAAGCCTAGGAGAAACAAAAGTGGAAGACTGCCTCAAAAACCAGGAACAGCCACATTGTCCTCTATCACCATCACCAACTCCACCAAAACTCCCTGGCACTTGAGAAACACTCTAAAGATCAACTATAATGCACCACACTGGTCACAGAGCAGGGTTTACTCCAGCACTAGTGCTGAACTCGGGGTTCACTGAGGTCCAGCACAACAATCCAAGCAGTCCCTCACATCCAACTCTCCAAATCTCCCTGAATCCAAAACAAGCTTCTTCCTTCAGCAAAGATGACAAGCAATGACACATCCCAGCACAGGTGGAAACATTCTCATGCAAAGGCGGAAGACAAACAATGCAAGTGTAAGTTAAAAAATATGGTGATAGAGCAGGACTTGTGCCCAGACAAGAAATGACAGGTTCCCCAGGACCAGCTGCTGCCAGGCCACCACCAGAGCCAAGCAGCCAGCATGGTGATGGGAGCACTGCTGTATCTGCAGGTCTGAGAACATCTCTTCAGTGGAAACTGAAGAAGAGGAGCAGAGATTAAAGCTGGAATGGAAAAAGCTGGAAAACTTCCTGATAATGATCACTGAGAGCAAGAGTGAGTGCTGTGGGCTAGGCTAATTGGGTCCAATTAGCAATGAGAAAGGTGCACACCTACACAGGTACAGGCAATTTTAATCTCTGAAACAGAAACCCACAGGTTCAACAACTGATTTGGTTTTATGGATGGAGGAAAAATGAGGTTTGATTCTGGATTTCAGGAAGAGCTTTCCTTTGAAGGGTGACTCATGCCCACAATGTTTGCTGGTAGCAGTGACAGCTTTACATCACCCTCACCTGTGAGCAGCAACACAGGCTGTGACCCTGCACCTCCTGCAACTCACCATGGCCTTTTTGGAGAAGACAGCAGCCCACCCTGTCACCAGCTCAAGGTAGGGAAGGTGAAGCAGGAGAAAGGATGAACTTTGGGCACTATGTGGTACCCAAACAGCAAAACTTGCCCTGGTTTTGTGGGCAAGGGCACTGCCCAAGTCACTTTCCCCAGCCCTTCTCTGATGACAGCAGCCCCAAGGGATGCTTCAAACCCTTCAAAAAATTCAGCAGGTTACAAGACCTTGCTGAAGCTTTGGGTCAAGCTGCCTGGTTTCCCAAGCTCATAGACATGCAGCTTTCCTCTGAAATTCTCCAGCCTCCATTGTTTCCTGGAATTGCCCCAGTAAAACCTAAACTTCTTTAGCAAAGAACAGAACAGAAAGAGAACGAATGAAAAAGCCCCATTTCCAAAGGTCCTATAACCCAACAGCTCTGAGATGACCAGAAAGCAGCATAGTCAGATGAGCAATGTACAAAGCAGAGCAAGGCAGGGTGGCCCAGATGCCAGACCTCCCACAGAAATGCTCTGTACGCCCTGGAGGGTTTTTTACAGCATCTCCAGACTGCCTGAGAGCCTCACAGGACCAGCACTCCCCTGTGCCCCTGTGTGGCAGCTAGGCACACATTAATTCATCACCTTCTGCCTCTGCTGGTGGAGGTGGCAGCAGCAGAGGAAGTCAAGCAACAACTCAATTCCATGTAAAAACCATACGCAGTTGTCAAGGACCTTGTCCAGAACAACCTTTTAGTTTTGTTTCTTTTTTCCGCCTAGCCTGCTGCCATAGCCGATAGGGACGAGCTGGAGCTGGTTGAAACATCTGTGGGGCCAGGCTCCTCACCTCTTAAGCAAATTCAAGAGATGGATGTGCCTGACTCCTGGATGTTCCTGTACCACTGGCACCACCAGCATGGCCATATGTGCCACGGATAGTACATGAAACCTCACAGCCCACGTGCTGTACTCACCATTGCTGCACAGCACAGGAGGCATGGGGGAGGAGCCCTACCATGGGGTGGGTAAGTCTGATTTTATCACCTGAAAGTGAAATCCCATTCCAGCAGCACATCACAGGTTTTGTAACACATTCTCCCAATCCTGGAGCTACAAGGGGGAATTTTAAATCTCCTGCCCTGCCAGTGAGCATGTTTCTGACCCAGTCTCTCTAGCAGGACCTGGATAATTCAGGCTGATTCCCACAAGGGAGAGATGGAAGGTGTAACTCCACTGTGTTACATGCAGGAGGGATCAGGGACTGAGACTCAACCCTGCTCCCCAAAACAGGGAGCCTCCAGCATCATGGGTCAACTTTACGCCATAAAATCAGACTTACCCAGTTGTCCCAAAACAGTTTCGCTGACCGATTTCCTTTTCTCTGTCTTCTCAGGACTATTTTTTCTACCATCTCTTCCTTTCCTTCTTGGGTCACTTTTCTTACCCTTTGTCTTCTTCCCAGTTTGTTCTGGCATTTTTTAGAAAAAAAGTAGAATGTGATGTGAGACGAGGCATCAGGGATGCTGTGGTGAGCAAGTTCCCATGGGGCACACCCCTACAGTGGAGACCTGGAGCAGACCTGCAAACAACTACACGCCAAAGGGAGATCAAGGCCATTCTTTGGCCAGCTGTAGGCTAAGGTCTCTACATGTTAAGAAAATCTGAATCATGTAGGCGATAAAAAAAGGAGATTTTAGCCTTGGAGAGGAGTGTCCACAGGAGCAGCCCCACTGAAGGCAGGTGACTTGCTGGAGACTCTACAGCCACAGACCTGGACCAGGTCTTTGGGGTGAGGACCCACTAGGGAGTAACTCCAAATCCTGCCCAAAACCTTGCAGGAGCCATGGCGACCTACAAACCTGGTGCTGTGTCAGCCATCACCAACAAGAGCATCTCCAGAAAGAGATTCAGTGACACAGCCAGACTGACAGAACAAAGGTACCAGCACTTTTAAAGACAACTTGATTTGACCTTTTGGCAAAACTGTGCAGGAGTGAAAAAACCCCAAAGTGATATAGGTACATGAAGTAGGAAAGATGACCAGGATTGCCTACGGAAAGTTAGGGATGCAACTCTTAGCTATACATTCAGCTAAAAATGAGCATTTCCTAAATGGCTTTGAACTTCTACTGGATTTATTCCTTTTGGGTAAACAGGACAAATACCCTATAAAAGTACAACTTGTATTGCCAAGCAAAATACTTCCAACAGTTTTTACTTACTCTGTTAGGCCATTCTCCCCCAGAAAGTCCATGCTAAAGCTTCTACTAATTTTCAGAGAGGGAAGGATATTGCCCTTAAACCAAAATGTGGGTGGCTCGTGGAAATGGGAGGTGAGACAGGCAGTTTTTCAGAGTCTGGCCTATAGGCTAAAAAATGATCTTAAGGAAGAAATCAGTTTATTGTGTCAGCTAGCAGCAAATGCTCAGCAGAGAGGCCATGGAGTGGACAAGTCAGAGGGAATAACCTCTGCCAGCAGCAGTGGAAATATACTGGGTGAGCAGGGGAGGGAATTTGCATTGCACCTGCCTGAGTCTGAATTAACAGAGGATTTACAGTCCTGGAGTTGCCAGCCAAGAATCGCTCCTGACCGAAAGACTTACAGAAAGAAAGAAATGCAAAAGCAAATTTGGTATTTGCTATGTTCCTGCCAAGTAAAGGGAGGAAAGCATTTTTCACTTAGTTTATAAAATCAAAATCTAACTTTGTTTAGACAGCACAATGGGGCTAAAGAGAAACCCGAGCAGCACTATTTGAAGAGGAACCTGTCAAAATAGTAGCCGTGTTTCAAAGACAAACAGTGTTTACTTCCCACTCTGTGCAAGAAAAATACAGGAAGAGAGGAAGGTTCATTTTACCTTATTAAGAATCTCCTGCTTAAATGATCTTTTGACAGTAAACCCCTCCTGTTCGAAGTTTTGTGTGGGAGACAGTCCAAAAAAACCTTTGTGCCAAAACAGTCTTTGGAACAACCCCAACAGATCTCGGTTGATGGCTACTATAACAGTAATTAAAAACTGGCCTCATCCTGGTGAAATAATGGAGACTTCTTCCTTTCTCCTAGGAACCCTAGGTATGGAGAGCATCCTGGTCAGGGGCTGTGGGAGAGGATGCCAACGGAACCATTCTCCATTTTCCAAACCAGTAAGTGCTTTGTAATGCTGGAAAAGGCAGCAGTGAGTTATCCAAAGCTTTGGTTCCACTGGATGTTGAGTATCTGCAGCTTCTGGTGTGGTCACTTGGCAAAGAACTCCTCCTGAGCTCAGGACACTCTACAGACTGATGCCAAAAGGCACACAGGTCCCTAATGACCCCCTGGCATGGGAAGGACCCAGATGCCCAAACCACCTGCAGATTCCAGGTCTAAATTCCTGAAGCTGGGCTGTTTCCCTGGCAGCAGGGACTCACAGGAGCTGGGTCCCAGAGGAAGCAGTCAGTCCCTGCCCAGGCTCAACTAGTAAGTCCATCCTGGGAGAGACAAGCAGCTCAGAGTGGAAAAGGAAAGTGCAAACACGAGCCAGGTAGGGCAGGAGAGAAGAGCATCTGCATCACAAGATCTTAAGAGATCTCTGCACACCAATCCCCACCCAAGCCCCCTCCCGCTGGGAGTTTGTCTCTGATCACTCACCTTTAGGCAGAACAAACATCCTGGGAACAGCAGCCATGCTTTTCTCAAGTACACCTATAACATTTTTGGGATGGGCAATCACACAGCACCAGCACTAGGCAGTGAAGACAACCCCAAAACACCATCTGGAGAGCTCCAACACAGCTCCCCATCACTGGCTGGCATCTGCACCCCACTAGTGAGGCTCACCTACTCCAGCTCTTCCTGGGAGGAATTGCCAGCTCCCATCCCACTGCTGCATCAGAGAGAGGGTTGGGCAAGTACCCCAAGGCATTTTGGGGAACACACGTCCCCAAGGGCATTTCCAGCTATCTAACACCTTGTCTGCAAGAGAGGTGATATTAAAAACCCATCCTGGCAAACTACCCTGTGCCTACCGCCTTCTGAGAGCTGCAAATGTTGGGCTGGGTTTGCCCAGCTGAACTGAAGAACATCCTGAAGTCCCCTGTGACACCTCCAAAACCCACAGAACCTGGCAGTGACAGCACATGGCAGGTGGTACTCCTGGCAGTAATGCTGCTGGCTGGGGAGGTGAGGTGGGGGTCCAGCTCAAGAATAACACGTGCATAATACCCTGGGTGTAAGGGAATGGATGTGCGATGTGGGGTCTCCAGCTGGTAGGAACACCTTTGTGTGTGTTCAGACTGGTGAGCTGTACCTCTGGCCCGTAAAGACGTGCGGAGCAACGTAGAAAACGACAGCGACTGGGATTTACAGGACCCACATCATCTCAGAGCATACCCTGGGGTCCCAGCCACTCCTGTGCCCCATCACCGCCTGGCTTTGGCTATCAAGAGGAATTTGCACGGGTCTGAGTCACAGGCATCTCAACATACACATTCCTCAGCCTCCAAAACTTGAAAGGAGACTTTTGTCAAGGAAAGCTCAGCCCAGACAGTTTCTGAAGAAACCCCAACCATGTGATGGCTTCAAACACAACTCCAAAGCCACAAACACAACAACCATCAGAAGCAGCTGCCAAAGCACCAGATGCTGCTGCTGGAAAAACTGTTCTGAAGCCACAGGGTCTGGTCTGCCCTGCCACTGGAGGCAAAGGAGTAGAAGGAGGAGGGAGCAGGAGCTGTGGGCTCTGGCACTGCTTGTGCAAAAGGAAAAAAAGTAGGACAAAAGGAAACCAGCTTTATTTCAGCTCCTTAAGAGAAGTTGGCAGAGGCTTTGCAGTCAGCAGCATGATCTCCACTAACGGGTGTGTGACGCCGGGAGCTGCAGCTGACCACAGCTAACGGAGCTGTTCTCTTGGAGCAACAGACCCCCACCAGTAGCTTAACACTTGATTCTTGACAGAATGCTCAAAGGCATCTGCAAAGAACCTGTAGCAGGGCTTCCACTCTGTGTCAGGGAGACAGCTGCAGAGCAGCCCCATGCCCAGGATGTGCCATCTCCTCCCAAGCAGTGCCAGCTCACAAAAGTCACCAAATACTGTCTTAGCATCCCCACCTAAGCAAATGCTTGGTCCTTCTGACTGATTCCATGGAAGGGGAGTATCAAGAGGGATCTGTGAAAACAAATAGCTTCAGCACTCCAGTCACCCAGAGTCTGGCTTGATTGGGTGTTTCTGAGTCAATATACGAACTGTGCCAAAATAACGTCTCAGGGGAGGGGGCAGCTCTGGCTTCTACTGTGAGGGGAGCTGGGGTACACAACTTAGCTTCAGTGGGGACAGTGTCTGTGAGAACAAGCTCTGTGGTACTGACCTGGATAAAGATCTTTCTCAATAAGCTTCATCTGGAGATGGAAGATCTGCTCCTGCAGTTTACAAATGGTGTGTTTCATTTTCTCCCGTCTCGTCACCATGTAACAGAGATTTCTAACCTACAGAAACACAACGAACAGTGTCTGGTTTAGGCAGGGTCAAAGCAGGTCCCCCCAAGTTGTGCTGCTGCTCCTGCTGCCCAGGGAAATCCCCACTCCCTGGGATTTGATCCTTTTCACCTCACCATCATCTGTGCTGCGCTCCCACCATGGCCCCTTGGGTAAGCCAGGTCTAGCAGTGAGGGCTCTTGAGCCAAACTGTGTGATGCATGTGGGAAAAACCACGCAGTGAATAATTCCAAGCCTAAATGTCTCTGTCCTGGCTCCAAACAGCCAGGACCCCACGGTGGGCAAGGAAGGCTGGCTGGCTTCTCCAGCATGGGCACTGGGAAGTCTGGGAAGGGAAGATGCTGTAGAAGGAGCATTATAACACAGTCAAGCAAAGGTACAGCACCAACCATCGTGCTGAGTCCTTGGCCCAGTAGCTGCATCATGCTCATGTCCTACTCACATCTGACATGGCCCCCTGCACAAAAAAATGCCGAATTCTAAAAAGCAGCTTGGTGCCCTGAGTCAATGCACTGGTTCTCATCCACAAATTGCACCTTTTTCAAGGAGGGATAAACCCTCTTCCCATAGCCAGTGCAGGGAAGGGGCTGAGCTGGGATGGGGATGTCAGAGCCTCACAGAACTGCCCTAAAGCAGATACCAGGAAAAATCACAGAAAATACAGCAAAATACCTTCGTGATACTGACCCAGGTCAGCAGCTGGAGCAGCTCCCCACCTAAAATCTAGCCCCTCCATATGGTTATTCACATTGGCTCCAGATCTACCAGCAAATCACTGGTGCATTTTGTCCTAGTTCAAAAACTTTCATTAACCGTGGCAGTGGGGTTGGAAAATGTTCTTTTAAAGTCCCTTCAAACCCAACCCAACCCAACCCATTCTATGATTATCTGAAGCTCTAAACACAAACAGCAAAGCACAAAATATAACTGCTCATGTGAGCTAGTGCAGCAGCAGCTAAACCCTGCTGGTGGTAAACACCCCCAGTAGCACAAGATGACAGAGCTGTTGCTGATAACTCCTAGCACCAGGGACTTGATGAGTTTCAGTGTCATGGTTCTGCCAACCCCATGTAAGAGTGTCTGGAGAGCCAGGTTCTGGCACTGCTGCCACAATGGACAACAAGGCATTTGGAGCAAGCAGAGGCTTTCAGCTGCAGAGCAGAAAATGCTAATAGCAGCTAATATGATCTACTCAGCTTTCTGATGCTCTGTAAGAGCAAAGCTGCCTATAATGAGGTAAGGAGGGGGTGACCTGAGGAACATGCACATGGGTACATCCACACTCACGTGTGACCATGATGTTTTGGATTCCTCCCCCTCCTCATGCTCACACTCTGCAGAGAATATTTCCAGGCTTGGGGGACTGTCCCGGTGTGACCAGGAGCCTTTGTGCCTCTCACAATGACAGAGCAAGCCAGGACATCCTCCCACACTTACCTCATACCTGCCACCAGAGGCTGTGAGGGGAAACAGGACAATTGCAGCCAATCCCTAATGTCTCACTTAAAGACAATTTGGGAATGTTTAGAAAAAAAGGAGAAAAAGCTGCTCTTTTGTTGTTGTTGTTGAATCCCTAGCTCTAAATACAAGGCAGGGAGTTATTTAGTGTATTTTACTATGCTCTCTTTTTTTTCTTTCTGGATTGGAGAAAACATCAAACTATTTCCTTATGAAGAAAACAACTGCTTCTGGCAACCTGAATCTCCAAGAATTTGGCTGTATGTCTTCTCTATGATTTGATATTCGTGGAAGAAAACATTACTTTAGCTTTGCTTAGAATTTACCCACACTTACACAGCTCAACACCACCCAGTGCTGCTTCCCCAAGCCAAGCTTAGATGCTGGTGTGAAAGTCTGGAAACCACAGCTTTTTGTAAAAGCTAATTTAAACATCCAGTCCTTGGAAAAATCTTGTTTAAAAAGGCAAAGAGGGTTAAAAAAGGCCAAAAATAAAATGGGGGGACTGTATTAGGATTCCCAGGTAATACCAGGTAATTGCTTTAATTTGCTGACACTGTGAAGTGCAGAAATGTCAGAGATTAAGAAATGACAGAGGGAACCACCATTACTCTGGCTGTCCCATGTCATCTGCTCTCTGCTTCTGCCTCCCCGGCTCTTGGATCCCTCTACCATTATCAGCCTCAGAATCGCTTCTGCCAGATTAATTACTGAAATTGCTAAAATCCAACATGATGTCCTGTGGATACCCTCTGAAAGCCTGCTTTCAGGCTGCTCATCTCTGATCCCAATTTGATGTGATTCCTCACTATTTGCAGATGAAACAAGGTGGCTGAGACCTGCCCCAGGTGCAGGATCAGATACCTGGGATGCTCTGCCCACAGCTGGATTTAAATCTCCATCACCCATCTGAGCACTGGACTTTGATCCGGCTGGTGTTTATTGTTCCACTCCTGGAAGCAGAACAAACAAACAGCTCTTCCAGGGCCAGAAAGTGAACTCTCCTGGCAGGGAGTTGCTAAGCAGAGGCTAAATGCTGATGGGCACACCCCCACAAAGCCTGAAGGCAACTCTGGTAAATGAGAGATCTGGTAAAACGCGTAGTTTTGACATAAAGAAATCAAAGAGAAAGCTGCCGTGGGCAAAGCATGGTATCCAGGGATGCACAGTGGTTCAGTGCAGCTGGAAAAGCCAAGCTGGGAACGAGGAAGCAGCAGGGGCCAAAGCAGCCTGGTTTAGGTTTAAAACAGAGCAAATGCGGGGAAAAAGTGAGTTGAACTTGTCACCCTCGGATCAGGCAGATGCAGCCTGTTGCTGGATGCACTAATGGTCCCACTAATGATGGCACCAGCCCGGCCCAACACAGAGATGGAAATGTGATTAAGTAAAGGCAGGAAAAAAAGGGATGGCAATGACGACCACAGGGATGGAGGCCCACAGAATCACAGAAAACAGACCAATAGGTTCAAACCCAACTACTTTAACACAGAGGAAGGCTCTCAGGTTCCAGGATCTACATGGGAGATGGGTGGCAAGGGACCAGGCCAGGCTGGTCCAAAGCTGAACCCCCACCTGGACATGAGCACAGTGCCTACCCACACAGCTTGTCTCCCCATAGGTTCACGTATGCCACAGACCCACAGCAGCTTGAAGAGGGGGTTCAGGGACATGCAGGGGCAGCATCCCCACCACCTTCACCTCCCAGGATACAGCATATCACCTATAGTACCCTCAGCCCCTGCTCAAGGAACCACAGCACCATCTCCACCAGGTCAGAGCAATACTGTTTTCCTGCTTTCCTTCTTCCTTGTTCCTAGAGACTCCCTAAGCCCTTCCATGGTTTTTGCACTGTGGGTGGGTGGTCTAACAGGGACCTGGACAAGGGCAATGGATTCACCCCTCCGGCAGGAACAGAAGAAAGGGGACCAGGCAGGGCTTGGGGTCTTAAGCAAAGGAGAAGGAGCTTGTGCTGTGCATGCCAAGGTCGGTATCCCTGCCCTGCCTGTTCCTGTCCCACTGCTGCCGTGTGTTATGCCCATGTGCCTCCCCAGCAGCAGCACTACTGCACCTGTCCCCTCTCTGCCACCTCCCCCCAGGTTCTGCGTGCGCTTCTTCTTCCTCTGTGCTTCTTCCTCTCGCTGCTCCTCCTCTCCAGCCTCAACCTCAACCCTGCTCATGCCCGGCTTGCAGCCATGACAGCCAAATCCAGCTGCAGGTGTGGCAGCAAGCCCAGCCCTGGGAGCTCTGGCACCACTTGGGCACTGCTGCTCTACCAATGCTCCTTCTCACCCAAAAAGCTGTTGTGGAGGCTTCTGCTTCCTCTGCTGTGGCTGGGAGGATTCAAGGATGTCCTGCACCACTGGGACCATCAGGTGGTGCATCCTCCGTCTGCATCCTCTGGCCTGGCTCTGCCTCTGCAAGCAGCTCCCTGAAGAGCTGACCCACTTTTGGCTGCAGTAGGGCAGGGAATGCCCAGTCCCACTGGCCCTGCTCTCACTCTGCCTTTCACTGATTTTTGATATTTACTGTAAGTAAATAATGATGTGTTCTCAAGCCTTGGTGCTGCAAAGGATCTGAGGGGCAACACAGGATAATTTTGCGGTTTGAAACTATTTAGGTATAGCGGACATAAGCTATATGTATATGTATATGTATATGTATATGTATATGTATATGTATATGTATATGTATATATGTACATATATAAGCTGCAGCATCATCTGCCTCCCATCCACCCAGCCCTGCCAAGGCACCTCTCCCTGCAGACATTTGCTCTTTTGAACCCCTGGCTGAGACAAACACTAACTTATTCCATCAATGTCAGTGTTTTGGCAGTGATGATGTACACACACGGAGCACTTCTATGTTTCTGAATGAAGACGAAAGAACAAAATTGTCAGGGGAGTCAAACTGAGTCAGGGGGAACAGGGCTTGTGCTGTCTGTGGGTGCCAGCAGCCCTGATGGAGCATATGGGTACACCACTGAAGAAGCTGTACTCACCCTCTCCAGGTCTTGCCTGAGGTGCATGAAAAGCTTTAAGCGTCGGTAGAGAACATCCTGCTCTTGCTGAGCCAAGTTGTCCACTTCATCTGTTTTTGGTGTAAGCAGTGGTTTGTTGGAGTTTGCTTTCCTCTTCAGCTTCCAGTACTGATAGACAAAATCCACCAGTGATTCACTTAAGTCAAGGTTCTCTGCCACCTCTGAAGGCTTCACGAGCTCATAGAAGTCCTCCTCCAGCTGCTGGAGCTTCTGCTTCCGCAGCGTGACCTTCTCCAAGTCCAGCTGAGCTTGGTCGGGCTCTGTCCGTGCCTCCTCAGGCAACTTGGTGGCCCCAGTGCTGTGCTCAAGGCAGAAGGACTTGAACTTCACTTCATCGTTGTCTGCAAGGATAGTCCGCATGTCGAGGTTGTGGTCGAAGGCGCAGGTGACGTGGAACGCGGTGACACAGGCTGGCATGGAGCACTGCAGGAGAAGGACAGGGCTCAGGGCCAGGACAAAGCACCATTGCTGAGGGGACACTCACCAACACATCAGGCAACAAAGGCATGCCACAAACCCAGGGAGACAGACCATCAGGGTGACACCAGCCATGAAGTGATGGATGCTCCACAACAGGAATTCCTGATGGAGGAACACCTATATTGCCCCAGTTGCAGACACCCAATGGCCTAACACCCCGAACATAAGCAGAAGAACCCCAGGGTTCAATAGATGGCATTTTCCCACCTGACCTTTTTTAATCCGCCTCTGTAATGGGCCCTGCTCGTCTCCCACCTACCATAACCAGAAACTTCCAACAGTTCTTCCAACAAGACATGCCAAAAGCCAAAGAACAGGACAGGCCAATGGGATGCTCCCTGACAATCAGTAGATTTCTCCTGATGGAGAAATGCTCACCTGTATTTCAGCCTCAAGCTACTCCCCCTGTTACCCCATCTAAAGCCAATATGCCATTTTTACTGGAAGCATACAGAATGTGGCAAGGTTTAGGAGTGAAGATGGGATCTAAGAAGCAGCCAATGCTCCTAAATGCCTTCCTCCTCAGGAAATTACACAGCCTCTAACTTGCTCCATTTAAAAAAGAAAGAAAAATGCAACTGGAGCAAAACATCACAAAATGAATGCTTTACAACTTGCACTGTGGCTACGATGTTGTCAAACTTGCATCAGATCAATTTTTTAAATTATTTTCCTAACTTACCTCAGGCTTAAATTACTTTGGATCCCACAGGCAACAAATCTCACCCTGGTGTCCCACAGAAGAACTCCTATCAGCCAGCACTGTCCCGTGTCCATGTCAGAACCCTCTCCCCCTCTACTCAACTGTTTTTAATGGCTCAGAGTGTCGTCAGGTAATTATTTCAACCATAACCCATTAGAAATCAGTCTATTCCAGCTGCTACTGACCAGTTAAACTGCAATAATGAGACATTTTAAGTGGGCTATTACTGTAGGCACTACTTTGGCATTAATAGAAGAATAGCTCTTGTGGGGAATGAAGATGCACTTGTGGCCTGAAGGACCAAGTGGAAGCATGTAAGATTTCCTGAATGTTGATAACAAACCATTTACTTTTACTAGGGCTCTGCTGCACCTTAATTCTCAAAAACAAAAATGTATTTTGGTAGTAGTTGAGGAACAGAAGTTTTACTTCTTGCCATCATCCCATCCCAGGGCTCATGGATCCAGGATTCATCAGCCCTGAATCCTGCTCAGGCACCCAGGGGCAAACTTTTGACATTGCTGCTTTTAGATATTTTTCTTTCACTTTTTTTATGAGTCTGCTGGTGCACAAGAAGCTGCCAGAACCAAGAAAAGCATAAGCAAGCATTGTCCAAATCCTTCACTTCCAAAGCTCTCCAGACCCTGCTCCAAAGCCTCAGAAAGCAGTGGGAAGAGCTGTTTGCAGCTCTGGCTGTACCAGCATGGCTCTGGGCAGCAATGCGGGGCACCACAAGCAAGCAGATTTTGAACTCCAACATTGTGATTATCCTGTTTAAAAATGGCCATTTGGTCCTAATTTCAGTCTGAAATTATTCACAAAAATATCTGGTAACTTGCAAACCCCAACTTCTTCTGCCATGCTGCTGTCACTTGCTTGGAGCCTGGTGTTGTGACGGACCTACTGATGCTCTCTGTGCCAGCCCAGGGCTCTCACCACCGCAGTGGGCAGAGGGTGTCCCCTGGGACAAGCCCTGTCACAGCCACACATGCAGCTGAAGCACCAGCTCTGTTCTCAAGTATTTATTTTTGGAAAGAAGGAAGGAGAGAGGGAGCCCAGCCCGGCTCGCAGCTTCCAGATTTACTCAGGGCAGTCAGTATATCACATGCTGACTTTTAAAGCACACAAAGTGCTGTCCCTTCCCTTCTGTTTCTGCCATCAGTGCTAAAAACAGCATTAACAACACACTCATGTCTTCTGCCAGGACAGTGTCCTGCTAACAGGAATGACCATCACTCCACCTTAGGAATAAAGCAAATCCAGTGACACTCATCCTGGATCTCTCCACTCCAACAGATGGCAAGCAGCACTTGTCAGAAACCGTGCCCAAAACACCAACAGAAAATAATTAGGCAGCTCAGATGACAGGGCAACAAAGAAAGATACCTGGTCGGCCACAGCCACTGAGGGACCCTGGATAAACTAACAATAAAAACATATTGATCCATCCCAGAATGGCACTGGAATGAAGCCACACTTGTGGTGGAAGGGAGGGATCTGCCACACAGAATAAACCAGGCTCAGAAGACTGGAGCAGTCTCTGCTTTGTTATCGATTGTGCTTCATTAACTTACAGCACCTTTCATTCAAGGATTTCAGCACACTGCTTATCCAGGCAAATCCATTTCCAAACAAAATTCTGAGAGAGAGAGAGTAAAAACTGCCCAAGAGATTTAATGTGGGCTCTTAGTCTTAAAATCATTCTTACTGGGAAGAAACAGAGAGATGATTTTAGTTGCCAAGGACATTCAAACAGAAGTTTAGCAGGTTGCAGTGGTGCTCCGCTGCAGTTTGGGGCTGAGCGGAAGGAAGCGGCTCCTCCAACAGACCTGCAAGGGGAGTTCAGGAAGGAAAAATTAATTACTGGTGCTGAACACTGGCCAAGCCATCAGACACAACACTTCTGCGTCCTTAAAAAAATACCATGTGATTTTTCGTGACCACAGATGGTCTGGAGCTTGGTAGAGCATCTCAGCTAAAAAAGGCAATTTCAGCCTCACAGACTCCTTGGAGAATGCAGGGCAGAGGATGGATGGGACTGAGGCAGCATGGACAACACACTCTGCTCTTATCCCTGATGCCACGCGCTGCGTTTTCAGGACTACAGGCAGAAGACAGCTTTGGGAACCATTAGTTATCCTAGTGGATGAAGACCAGTGGCACTGCTTGCTTAATGGGAGCGAGCAGCAGTGGGCAGAGAAGTGATGATGAATGGGGGATGGAGGACATTTCCAAGGATTTTTCTCCAAAAAGCGACAACAAAAAGAAAGCTGGAAGATGATGACTGACGATTGTGCCCTTTGGAGAAGCTTGCCAGCAACCAAGAGAGCCCTGGCATTCTGTTCTGCCTCAGTGAGCTCTTCCAGTTGCTCTGACAAGCGAAGAGGGAGCAGAGTTCCAAAAAACCACAATGAGGACTCGGGCTGCACCACAGCCTGGCTCCTGGCACTCTCTTTTCCATCTCAGAAATGCAAACAAGAAAATTCTTCCTGCATTCTGAGCTCTCTGGCATCTCCTGATGTCTCATCACAAAAACCACCATGAAGCAATGACTTCCCCTTAACAGGAGTAAGGCAAAGGGTGTCTCCAGAGCTGCATCCCTACACAGTATCCAGTAGTTTAGGCTCGGTTCCAGTCACACCAAGTTACACTGGGTTCACGGCTCTATACCAGAAAGCAAGACCCTTGCAGCAGCAAGGGCAATGGCATGGACAACAGTGGGGAGCCTTTCCTCGGACTTCTCTAAGTTTCTCCCTTTTGATGGTCAAATTTGGATGGGGAAAAACATCTCCACACACAGAGGTCCCTACAAAGACTTCTTGTGCTTGTCTCTGCAAATGTGTCTGAGGTGGGTGTTTTCTCAAGCTGCAGTGCTGCCTCTGAGATGCCCTGCTAGGATGACAGTCTTCTACTCCTCCAGCCTTCTTCCCAGATTTCACCTTCATAAATCCCTCTTGGCTACTTGGAAAACACCCTCCTGGAAGCAACTTTCTTCCTTCCATAGACCTGCCCACCTGCAACACCTGACTGCTGCTGCCAGGAACAAATATCCAGTGCTTTTGCAGAAAACAACATCCTCCTTTCAGAGCTGGGCCACAAACCAAAATGCTGACAAGGGTAGATCCCACCTGTATAAACAGGCACTAGCAAAAATATGCTCCACAAAATATGCTCCATAAACATAAGCTTTTGAAACAGAGCTTTGTACCATGGATGAGTACAGAGAGTATTTATTTACCTAAGGGTGTTAATTTACCCTATAAATCTTTAAATAAAGGCACTGCCTGCTTTTTTATCACTTCTCCCCCTGTTCTTTGAAGCAAAACCATCCTGCACACAGCAGGGTGGCCTCGGCAAATGCTCCAGTGGAAATCTCATGAAGACTTATAAACCATGAGCTGCCAGCACGTGAGGCAGCAAGGCTCCTGTTCTATCTGAAGTGACCTTTAATGCAAATCCATTCAGTCCCTGGGATCTCACAGCTCCCATGTCATGATGGCACTAAGAGGATGAAGCCCGAGACACACTGAATTCTTTTTGATGCTGCCAAGCCTGTTTGCTTCCTTCCCTGCCCCTTTGTTCTTTGAAAGCAGTTGCCATTCTGACACAGTATCTCCATCTGGCAGGATGAATAAGCACCCAGAGCCATCAAAGAAATGAGTCAATGTGACAGATTTAAAGAAGTATTGTGAGATTTCATTTCAAACTATGGGGATTACTTTTAAATAGCTGCCTTTAAGGTATTAAGTGCAAGACGACAGCACAAACACAGGAGAGCCTGCAGAGCTTCTATCCCTGCTGTCTTTCTGCCACCAGCCAGCAGCTCCTGGTCCACGGTCACTGCTGCAAACATTGACCTCCACTGTGCAGCTCCTGCTGAGGTATGGAGCTGATCACTTGGGATCAGGACACATCCCTAAATTTCTCTCAATTTTTCAAAGCTTACTGGCTACCCTCTGTGACCACCAGGACATCACACTGGCCAAGCAGGTGGGAGGAAGGAGAATCATGGAGTTCAGCAGGGCTCCCCAAATGCCCTCACACAAAGAGTGCTGCATTTTGAATGGGAGCTTCTTCTCTGCTCCCCAAGAACTGAGATCATGGCATGAGAAGCTATGTCCCACTTTTGCAATGGAAAAGCCAAGAGAATCCTGATTTCTATCCAAAAAGAGAATGTCTGTCTCTCCTTTTGTGGGGAGGGCAGGCAATCAGGCGTCTGCAGTGGTTTGTTTAGGTGTGGCAAAACAGAATACGTGGAAATGTAATACATGATAAGTACTTTATCTTCTGAGCCATCAGGTCAGTGAGGACTATCCAACCCTGGTGCACCCTGATATCCCCACATCTGAAAGGCTGACCCCCTAAGGTTTCTGAAATACTTGCGTTATGTATCCCATGAGCATTTCACTTTCCTGGCAGCCTCACAAAGCCCTTCTCCTGGAGATTTCTGATCTAAACCAAGGTCATTTTCAGTTCCAGTAATTAGCGTCACTACAGCAACACCACTGTGTCATACAAAGAAACTTAATCCAGATTTCTATCACTCAGTGTATTAAATGATTGCAAAAACATCTGATGATGCCTGACAGGCTCTTGTCATTAGGTTTACTCAGAAGAGAAAAAAGTGACATTCAGACCATGTCCTTCAGCATCTCAAGACTCTCCAGCAGCTAATACAGAATACAACCCTGGAGGTCTGAGTTTCTTCAGTGCCAAGTTACATACCTGAATGCATGTCCCAGTGCACTCCTTGCAGAGGCTGCAGGACAGAGCCCATCTGCTTGCTGGGATATGGGAGATCTTCGTAATGGGTTCCATTTTTTCAGGACATCCAATGCTAACCTGCCCACAAGATAGAAGACAAGTTGTAAATATCGGCTAGAGTCCCAAATCTCCTATAAGGGGGCGTCTGTGGCTGCCTGAATGAGGGATGGATTGTATTTCTTATTCTTCAGGGTCAATTGTAATTTGGAAGAAAACCCAAACCTGCAAAACCAGAAACAAATCTGGAAGGCACAGAAGGAAAAATTTATGTTGTTTTTCCTCTGCATTAATTCCTCCTCTGAGGTGTCTATTTCAGATGGGCATATGAAATTAGTTTTAGTCTGCTCAAAGGTATGTCCCCTACTTCTGTGGCCTTGCACCCCAATTCTCTGCTCTTCCTTAACAGGGTGCCCCTTGTCTGCTAATGAAAGACACGGCATGATAATGCCAGCATTGAGGCTCTGGCACAGCTTGACGAGCCAAACTGCATTCGTTATTTACACCATTAACCAACACCCTGGGCCAGGACCTGAAACCAGCACTGTTAGGAGGAGGCTGGAAAACTTCTTACTTCAGGTATCCATAAGGCACAGCTAACGTGGACCCATTTTGTCCCGCTCCGGGTGGGCTTCAGTGCTCCCCCCCTCTTGGGGCACAGCAGACACTTAGGCTGAACACCGAGGGCGCAAGTCCGGCACAGCCAGCTCCCAATGGGGACCTTCAGGATGCCATAGCACGCCTGTGGAGACAGGAGGGACAAGGGTGTCTTGGATGTCAAAGCAGAATGTAACCAAAAGTATGTATTCTATCACCATTTGTTAAAAAACAGGTGGGGCAGTGTTCTTTATCTTTTCCACAACCCATCCTTCCTCCAGGGAGGTATCTTCTGTTAATGGGCCATTGAGTCCCACTGCATGACTGATAAAATTACATCATCCCATTGGGAGATGCTCCATCCAGGGGGAGGAGCCTAGCATTTCCTACCTGGATATAATCTGAGATTTGGAACATCTGAGCAACCTTTTTTCACTGGATTCCAGAGGAAAATCAGGCCCATCTACACTACCACTGGAGCTTCAGAGGAAAACTGCACCCTTCTACAGGACCACTGCCTCAACTGAACCACATCTGTCACTCCAGCAGGACTGCAGCCACCATTTATAAGGACTGCTACCAACACCCTGACTGAGAGGGCGTCAGGTTGTATTCTGACTCTGTCAGCGTTTTGGGTTTGGCTTTTTTTGCATTACTGTATTTTTATTTTAATTTTTTTGCTAGTAAAGAACTGTTATTCCTCTTCCCATATCTTTGCCTGAGAGCTCCTTAATTTCGAAATTATAATAATTTGAAGGGAGGGGGTTTACATTGTCCATTTCAAGAGGCTCCTGCCTTTCTTAACAAAGACCTGTCTTTCATACCAAGACAGAGGGTTGATCCAGCAGCCCAGGATGAACATCCTGCCAGACCTCCACCATCACTTCTACCTTTATCACTGCCACTGCAGCCCAATAAACAGCAGACTCAACACAGCGCCAAAGCCACAGACAGGGAGTTTAAGTTCTTCCTTACTACCTTCCCTGTTTTCACATGGATGCTCATGGTGGATCAGTGTGTCCTGGGTTTCAATTAAAAGCTAAGTATAAAAACGTGCTATGCACCATGCTAAGCACCCACCTGGCTCCAGGCTGGAGGAGGGCAGAGCCCCCACCACCAGCAGCTCTGCACTGCAGACATCTGCCTGTTCATGCCCTGCCCATTCCTGATCCACAATGACTCGGAAAAGTAAAAAAATGCTGTACAGAGAAATCTTCTGAGGTTACTGAGGGCTGAAAAGCCACAAGCCCATGATTGAGAAAGTTCCCAATCTGTAACCACACTGGTTACAGACCCAGCACAGCCCAAAGGGGAAGCAAAAATAACTATGGAAAGATAAAAAGGGGAAGCCAATAGTCAAAAATGTAAATGAGATGAGAGGAACCAAAAAGGATAATAAATCATAAGGATGACACACCTAAAGGGGGCACAGACAAGTCTCCAGTCAAGAGAGTGAGAACTGAAGGACTCAGGCTGCCCATGGAGCTCCCTGACCTGCAGTGGTAACGCAGGACACTGAGAAGCCAAAGTGTTTCATAAATATTTCTCTTCTGTACTTGGGGAAGAGCCAAATGATAAGCTGTATCGACAAATACTTTCCACTTTGATCATAATTTATGACTGTATTAAACAGCTCCTACTAAAACCAGACAGTTTTTAACTGGCAGGTCCTGATAACTCACATTTAAAGGGTTTTCAGAGGGCAACACACTGCCTTGGGCACTAACACAGGGCTGTGTCCCTATTTAAAGTGAGGAGATGTAATTCTGCATCTGGATGCTGTGAAATCCCTGCAGAAGACAAACAGCCAGTGCTGACAAGAACCCCCAGCACTCACGGCTGCAAACTGATCCCAGGCATTCGCCAGCTCCACTTCTTAAAGTTTACCCCCCAAAAGAATAACTTTTTCTCCTGCTGCTGCAGGTCACTGTCACTGCAAGTGACAGTGCTGCGGGTGGGGACAGGAACAGAGGGGGTACATGGAGATGTGTGAGTGTGGTAAAAGTACATCAGTCTTTAATGGCCCAGAAGAGACTACAATGTGACTTTAGGTTGCCCCAAATCTGATAGTTTTCCAAGTCGAAAAAGCCACTTTGTGAACAGTTTATGGAGATAATGAGGAATTAAGAGAGGAAATATTATTGCTGCGAGTCTACACAGTTCAAAGAGACGTAACGGTATGTTTCACAGAGCTTCCAAATCTGATAGATAAATCATTTCTGGAACAGAGTTTTATAAAACATGTGATTTAGTACCAGTCAAGAATCAGCCTGATATGTACTAGCATCAGAATGAACTGGCAGACTCATCTCAAAATCCAGGGGAAAGTAGGAATTATGACCAGGTACCCATCTCTATCAGACTCTTGGATCTAGGTTATTTATTTCTAGTGATTTTAGAGCAGCTGATGGTGCAATTCTGCTCCTGAGAAGCAAATAGAGAACTTCCATCCCAGACAAGGAGCAGCTCTAAGAAACAAGGTGGATTATCAGCTAAACACACTCTTCCAAGTCCAGTACCAGGCAAAAGGTGCTCCAGACACATGAAGCCATAAGGAATGCTGCATAGGACCAGCATAGCTATTTTTATTGCTACATCTATCTGGGGTGCAACATCACTGAGAATGAGATACCAAAAAACCAAGGAGGATGCCAAGCCATAGACAAGCTTGGTGTGGTCCATGCAACAGAGGGTGGGTTCAGCCATGTGCCCACACCAGGGAAAAGGAATTCAGTGATGACAGGCCCGTGGCATGGTGGCTGGAAACTAGGTGGATCATTCCCATGCTAAACAGAAGTGTGATGTTGTTACTGTGAGAGCAATGATCTGTGATTTAGCAGCGGGGGGCACGGTTCCACTTCGCTGACAATTTTAAAAGGGCAACTGCATGTGCTTTCTAAAGGTCTCACTTCCTAAGAAATAAATAATAGCAAGCCTCATGTCTTGTGCTATGCAGACGAAGTGAGTACAAGGATTCCACCTGGCACCATAACCCACCACCATATGTCTTGAGCCCCTTCCCAATGGGATGCAGGAGGACAAGCCATGACTCTGGTGAAGCCCATGGCAACAGCACTCATATGCCTCCAGGAAAAGTGTCATTCCCAGCAGGTTTTGGACGTGGTGCTGGCAAAGGCATGGTACAGTCAGATAACCATGATGCCATCTAACACCCTGCACTGTGGCTCTGGACTTTGTGGCTCAGGTTGTAAATCGAGGCAGAGATTAAATCACAGGCAGCTTATGGGCCGGCATAGGGCCTAGGGATGGACTTTTCTCCCTGAAAACAACTGAAAATCTCTCTTTTCTTTCAACAGCCTTGAAATTCAGGCCGCTGCATCCCCTTCTGCAGCACTGGGGCTGCTGCTTCAAGTGGAGCCCACGGCTCCCCCTGAGTCCCTGCTGTGGCTCATGTCAGCTCACACCCTGACATTGCCACTTGGGCTTGTTAAAAAAGAACCTAAGACAAAAAAAATACCCCAAACCCAACCCTGAATCATTCTGGTATTTTGTGGAATCTGATTCACTGATGGAAACCATTCAAAACACCCACCTACCTACAACTATAGATATCTCCAGTGCTCTCCCACCTCCAGGAAGCACTGATGGAAAAGCTGCCCAAAAGATGAGCAAATGGCTCTCTTTAGAACTAAATAAACCAAAACCGTTTGCACAGAGGGTGAAGCCCAAGTGCTGCTGCTGCTGCCATCCCAGTACCACACAGCGCTTCCCCTTGAAGCATGACCAGTAAAACCTCCCTGGGTCCATGAGGGACCCAGGAGACCCTCACGTGGCTGCCTTTCCCTTGTCATTGTTTCCTCAAAAGCCGGAGGCCCACAGACTCCCCCCAGCAAGAGCTTGAAGCATTTGCATCCAATTCTAAAAATAAAATTATTTTCCTCCAGGCAGCAAAATAAAATGAAATCCCACGCTCACACAGTGGGGAAGCAGGGACAGAAATGCTGTGATGGGAGTCTGCACTAGTGGAGCTGGAAGGTCTAACCACTCCCCATATAAAGCAGAGGAGGAGGAAGCTGGGGGGGTCTGTGCAAGCCCACCCATCTGATAGCACAGGACTGCAGACCTGCATCCGACTAAGCCACCAGCCAAGTCTTGCACACAGTGCTGGTCACCTGAGGATGCTAAAGATCCCACTGGGGTTCAATAAATGGGGTAAAGAAGAATTAAAGTCGTATTAAAGCCCGAGGAGACATAAAATAAAATATCACAGAGACCAAAGCATAAGGAGGAAGGGGCACTTCAACCTCTGATTGTGTGTTTCTGTGGACACTTATAAATGGTTGGGGCTAAGAGAGTAAGGAAAGCAAGTTTGCTGTCTGCCAGCTATCCCGGACCCCACTGTTATCCCCACTCTTCTGGAGCTTCACTTGGGATCCATGAGGAAAGCTTAACAGGAGTCTACAGCAGCCCAGGGGAATGGATGGGGGGGAATGGAGGAACCCAGAGGAGGAGGGTACCAGAGTGTGATGAGCAGAGCCAAGCACTGCCACCCCACCCTGCAGCCAGGGCTCACCTGGTGCACGCAGACGTTGCACTTGTCACAAAACACCATCTCGTTGCCGTCCTCCCCCTCCGGTGACCGGCACACGTCACACACCACGTCCTCGTCGTACTCGATGCCCAAGCCCTCCTCGGTCTCGATGGCGATGTTCATGTTCTCATAGCACATGGTCTCCAGCTCCTCCAGCACTCGTTCCAGGGTGATCTCGTCCAGCTCAGGCTTTTCTGCAAGGCAGAAGGCAGAGCATGAAGGCAAAGCCACTGATGCAGCTCCGGCACAAGTGCCCACTCACCTTCAGGGAGCGTTTTGCCAAGGGCTGAGCATTTCAGATGGCAACTTAAGAGGCAAATCCACAGCGACGGTAAAAGCGGCGATTCGGAAAACGGATGCTCCTAACTCGGGATGCAGTTTATATTTCATAGACAGTAACAAAATGTCGCTGCTGGCTGAGAGGAAGGAAACCCATTCAGCTGAAGCAATGCGGATAATTGGGACTGACAGTTTCAATGTTCAAGGAGACAAGTTTTGCAAAGATGCTTTCTTCAGTGAGGGCTCAGACAAGCTTTGGTAACACAAAGTCCGTGCTTTAATTGTTAAAACTGAAAATGTACCATTTTAAGACCAATTAAACCGAAATGTAAAACTGAAGCCAAAGGCAGAAACTGAGGATAAATGAGGGGGGTTTTTTGTGTTTGGGTTTAGTGAAATCAGGAGGTCAGACCCAGGTGGTCTTTTATTCTCCCCATACCAGGATCTTTAATGTAGAGAGGTGGCAGAGATGCTTTACCAGAGCTTTCTCCACAGAGACAAGCAGAAATATGTTTTTTAGGACAGCAACTTCTAGGAGTGGGATACCCAGTTGCCTTTAGATGGGGCATGCTGCTGCCAGGAGCTTTGGAGCCCCAAAATGGTGTCACACTGAAGGCTGGTTCCAGAAGTGCTGCCTCCCACCTGCACACAAAGATCCTGGTGTGACAAATGCAACGTGAGATCACTCCAGGCAAGGAAAAAAATCTGTCAGGTGCAGCAGTGAGGTTCTCTGTGAAGGGCTAGAGGCAAAGTTAAGCCCTCATCACACCCTGTCTCCCAATGAGCACTATGTCATCAGAAAAGGCACAGGGACAACAGACGTACCAGAAGGATGCAACATAAAGCAATCAGACTTTGTAGTTCATTAGTGTGAAATATCCACAATTGGCCAGACAGTGGAGGCACCTGACACAAACTGCTGTCCACACTCCTTGATGCAAAGCACTGGAAGAAAATACCTTATTTATGAGCAGAGACGGAGAAAAAAGGCTTGAGGAAGAACCCATAAGGAGCAGTTACTAATTAAACGTTCAGTAAAAAATTTGGCATCCTGGTCATCTCTCAAGCTACAGTGTGATGTCCCTGTTCTGGGCTGAACCCCAGGGACGGGGTTGCAGGGGTCCCAGCACCTCTGCTGGACGGGACTGGCAGAGGCTACATCTTTCCCCCCATAGACACTGATCAACCGAAAAAACTCTGTCAAAGGGGAAAACATCATGTAGGCGAGCTCGGCATGCAAACACACCATTGTCTGCCTTTTTAAGCTCTTCCCCAATGTTTCACTGGCACGGTTTCCCTTGGCTTGACAAGTCCCTGCAAACATCCAGCCTGGCATTCTACATGTCTATGTCGAGTCTGAGATATCATCTAAAACAGACAACACTGTTCCCTATCACAGCCCTTTCAAGAGCTGGAGCTGCTGTGCTGCAACATGCCAAGGAACCTGCTGATACCTGTTTGATTCCAGAGAACCTCTGGTGATGGGCGTGGGATCTCAGCCCCAAGCTGGCACAGGCTGCCTAGGGCTCAGCAATGTGAAAAATCCTGCATTAGCACAGCAGCACAGAGAGTTCTGAGCACCAGGGCTGGGATGGAGTCACCATCTTGCTCTTGGCATAGTTCCAGTTGGATGTCATGGAAACATGGAATGGTTTGGATTGGAAGGGACCTTAAAGATTTTCTCGTTCCAACTCCCCTCCACGGGCAGGGACAACTTCCACTAGATCAGATTGCTCCAAGCCCTGTTCAAGTGTTCCCTTGAACACTTCCATGGACAGGGCAGTCATAGCTTCTCTGGGTAACCTGTGCCAGGGCTTCACCACCCTCACAGGGAAAAATTTCTTCCCAATATCTAATTTAAATCAATCCCCTTTCAACTCAAAGCCACCCCCCTTGTCCTATCATTGGTCACATGTTACAAAGAAAGCCAGAGATTGCTTTTGCCTTAAAGTAGTCCCTTTACAAACACATCACCTTAGCTGCACTTGCTCAGCATGACTTTATGTGAGTATTAAACCAGACCAGCAAAAATATTCTCCTCTTGGTCAGAGTTCCAACTCCCCATCTGTAACTATGAGCCTGGGCACCAGAGTGCCAATCTGGAGTTACTCCATTCCTCCCAACAGTTCAGGCTCTACTCTTCTGGAAAGCAAAACGATCATCAAGGTGTCCCCAGTGCTTTTCCCCACATGCTTTCCAGAGCTGCCCTGTGCATGGGAGAGGACAGGCAGAGAGCTGGCAGCTGCAGGCAGCAGGAAGAAGGAAACGGAGGTGGTTTTCCACAGGAATCATGAACCCGACCTTGCCCAGGGTCAGGATCATGCTGGCATTGCCACTGGTCCACTTCACCTCGAGTGGAAAGAAGTAGCACCCATCCCACTTCCTGAATTTTCCACCATCACCTGCTTAACCCTGAGAAGAAAATTCACATTGATCCCAAAACTGCTGCACCAGAGGAATGCTGGAGCCAGAGACAGTGCAGCATCTTGGTGGGGTTCCCTTATCAGCCTCTGTGCCATGCAGCTGTTACAGCATTACACGGGGAATATGGATCCATCCCTCCCGTGCGAACACACACACACACACACACACACACACACACACACACACACACACGTGCAGGCGCTCTCACACTCCATTTAGGTGTAATTACATTAGGAATGCGTTTGCCAAGCGTCATCCCGAATACCTCGGAGCTTATTGAATTGACAATTGCACTTGATGGGGATGAAGTGATTAATCGTTTATGAAACACTAAACAATGGGGCCTGGGGGTGAAGTGCTTTTTCCGTTTGTGCTCCATTTATCTCTTTCTGTATCACATGAAGTTTGTGCTACTAAACTCCATTCATAAAATTGTCATCTTTTTGGCTGCAAAATCTCTCTCTTTATTGATCATGGCCAGCTAAACAGCAAACAAAAAAATTCTCCACCAAAACACTCCCATGTGTATGTGCACAAGTGACATTATTATTGTCCCCAGAGAAGGAAAGTAAAGATGCAGACAACTGATCTTGGCTACAATGAACAAACCCAGTTATGTCCACATTTGGGACCACCACCAGGTCAGCGGACTCTACCTGCTGACCAAGAGAATGGTAATTTCACCTGGTTGAGCTGTGCCAAGGTCTTTGGCAAAAAATCGAAGTTTTTCTGAGCCTCCACAGAAGACAGCAGTGATAGCCATAAACTTCTTCAGAGTTTCAGTCTGGACACAGGCAGAGGTGAGGCTTCAATCCCATGTTAATATAATCCCCGGCTATCTGGAGCCATGTTCAAAACATTGACACAGGAGAAATATGTCCCATCACTCTTTCCAGAAGGCCACCCACATTCTTTCTCCATTAACACTGAGTGCATTAACGATGATGGGTTTTGATGTGGCCACCTATCCTCCCTGGAACACCCTGGTATCACCCCACAATGGGAAGGGCTGTAATCCAGGGAATGCTGCCTCCCATGGCATCTCAGATGAGAAGAACTGTCCCCTCTTTGCACAGGGCAGGATGCTGCAGGGTAGCACCTTCCCAGCTAAAGGAAGCACCAGAAGATGCAACTTGCTTCAGAAATGGAGAAGAAGTGACAGATGATGATGCAGTACAGGAGGTCTCCAGATCTAATTCATGAAAAGAAAACATGAAGGAGCTTTGGTCCAAGCAAAAAAGTTGTCACCGCTGTGTCAGGGTCTGCCATGATCCCTGCAACCACACAGCCACCCAGAATCCCCATCATCTCACAGGACTCCCAAGGGGCCCAGCCCAACTCCACATAACTCAGCTCTTACAACTGCTCATACAGCATTGAAACACAGCATTTTAACACTCTATCCCAGAGGAACCGGGATTACTGGGCTGGCACTGCAGCCACGGCACTGTGCCTGCGAGAAGTACCGGGCACATGCCTTTACACAATGCTGCCCTCCGTCATAATTATTCCTGAAATATCATAATTTATGTGGCATGAAGGAGCAATATTCTTCTGCTAAATGAATTCTCAGCTACTCCTTGTTGTGGTGTGAGCCAAATCACTGCAAGAGGAGGAAAAAAATAGCTGGAGAGCCACCTTTCACAAAATAAGAGACCTATTTCTGACTGAACTGTGCTCCACTAATATCAATTTACTGAAACAATAAATCCTTTCCCCCTGTGGAGAATAGCTGGAGATAGAAACAGCTCATGAACAAACAGCTATCAGAATGCAGTCTGTGCCATTTGCTGATTCACAGACTATAAACCTGGAGTCTACTTCTCAGGAAATATACATCTATAAAAACAAGCAAAATTACGGCTTTTTACAATTATAAATAAAAAAGGAAAAGCAATTGTGAGATGATGTAGGCTTGTCTCTGACTATCTTTGAAAACCTGATGGGATGGGGTGTTCACACATGGTACAGGGACCACAGATTTCAGAGATCTCCAGCTCACTGGCCCTCCAGCTTGCCCAGGGCAAGACACTTCAAACCTGCCTGCTTTGGCACTCATGGGTACACCAGCCACTCTGTCCCGGGCTGACTGTCCCCCTGGGCATCCTTCAGGGACATCAGGGGATGACAGCCAACCACACCTGAACACCACACCAGACTACCTGGGACTCTCACAGCCACTTTCAGCCCACCACCTGCGGACACCCAGCCCTTGGAAGATGGAGCAATTGTACATTAATCTTTTATCAATGCTATTTATAAGCAGATGCTGCATGTAAAGTGTGACCAACACCCAAACAGTGAACTGAGCATCCCCAGTGAAACCTCCAGACATTTTGTTACAAACACAGCCTGCTAATGCACTTAAAAGATTTACATGAACTAATTATCACCCTTTCTGCCACCCATCGACATCAATTATTGCTCAAATTTAAGACGATGACAAAATGTTTCAGAAGCTACTTTAGAAGCTGCTGCCTCTCTGCAGTGATGCTTGGCTCCGACAGGGTTGTCCTAGAGCATTCCTGATTAAAGCCTCCTCAGCCCATCAGCAGCAAAACTGGAGTATTGCTGGAACTTCTACAATTACTGCCAGGAATTTATGGAAACAGCAAAACAGTGACTTGATGTGAAAACAGATCGTGCTGAAAATATGGAGGGGAAATGTCTTAAGAGTCTCCCACTGATCTCCAACCCTGCTAATCTATACATTAATACGTCACATACAAACAATTAATACATTCATTTACACATTGTATTGATTATTTATATCTCTAAGGAGCTAAATAAGCTCAGCTCCGAGGCTTGTGGTGTTTTACAGAAGGAATAGCTTCAAATTGACAGAGGGCAGGGTGAGATTGGATATTAGGAAGAAATTCTTTCCAGTGAGGATGGTGAGGTCCTGGCACAGGTTGCCCAGAGAAGCTGTGGCTGCCCCATCCCGGAAGTGTTAAAGCATAAGCTGGATGGGGCTTGGAGCAACCTGATCTAGTGTAAGTTGTGGAAGTTGTCCCTGCCCATGGCAAGGGATTCGGAATGGGATGAGCTTTAAGGTCCCTTCCAAAGCAAATCATTCTAGGATTCTATCCTGAGGCAGTCCTGCACAGTGGGACATGGACACACGTTGGTGGGTGGCAGCTGCTTGGAGACAGGCTCTGCCTGGGGAGTGCCAACTTACTGCCTCAGGGGGAAAAAGGGGCTCCCAGAATCCCAAAAGGATGCAGTGGGATGGGAGCAGCCTCAGAGTGTGACACCCAGGACTGCCAGAGAGGGAAGCAGCCACTCTGTGAGGAGCAGAACTGACAGCAGCCTCTGCTCCACTGAGCACATCTCGCCCAGGGTACTCTGCTGACTCCAGCTTATTTCACATCTACTTGACCAATCTCACCTCTGCCAAGGGAGGTATCATCTCATTAGTACACAGACATATCTCAAGTATGCAGTGATGAATTCCCCCCAGAGCTTCAAAAACAATCCATGTGACCTTTGCATATTCCATTCCACAAAATACCAGGAACACCTCCGGCTCCCAAGATAGAAGCTGTGGTGGGCATATGTGAGCAGAATACACCATATGGATTAAGCCAAGGGAATACTTAGAAACTTTGACTCTGCCTTCAGCAGGAATTGCTTCCGACAATAATTTTAGCTATTTCTTGAGGATTTTCTGTGTGTTTATGTAGTGTCAATCACTGCAAAAGGATCTTTCAGCCTTGGTATTTGAAGTGTCTCTAGCTCCACTCTTGCAGTAGCTTTGGATTTAGTGGAGATCACAAAATACAGCATAAAATGTTAATATAAAAATGAAGACTTGTGGCAGGCTCCTGTCTAAAAGGACAGGCCTGTGCTGCCTGGAGTGGCACGGACATTAATATGGCTCCATTCAGTCTTCTTCAGATCCACATTTTTTTCCACAATCTCATATTGCAGCAGCAACAAATAAAACACTTAGGTATGTCTAAATACTGACTTCATCTCTAGCACATAAAGGTGCTTTAAAGAGTGCATTTCCATCGAGTATAGCAACAGCTATTGAGACATCTTACTGGGGGTTTTAAAACTATTTAAAGCTGTTTTATGTTTACAACTTTTGCTTTTATGTAAAACCTTTGCTTTCTGGAGTAATTCCACTTAATCGGGACAGGAGTCAGCAGGCAGAATGCAGAGAGCTGGAGCTATCTGGAAGTTTATCTGATCTTGGTGATAAAATTCCATCCCTGGGGTGACCTAAAAAGGACTGGAAAAGGCATGTGCTGTGTGCTATGTGGACCCACGAAAGGCGAGCTGGATGATCTCATAGGTGTTTTCCAGCTCTCCTCCCTGCACATCCTCAGGAGCCAGTCCGAGATCAGGATCCTTCTTTGTCATTAAATATTTTGGGAATGACATATTGTGCCCTGCACAGCCCAGTAACAACAGTTCAGCCAAACACCCATGAGGAATTTAAACTTCTGCCTGCCTCCTAAATTAATGCTGGGAGATAACTCCTGATTCCTCTGAATGGGAGGAGAGGCTGCCGTTCTCTAGTTAAGTCATGTTAATGATCTTGGAGATTAGCAGAGCAGGTTTGGAAATCTGAGCGAGTCATTAATGGTGTCATTAATATCAAGGGCTTCCGAGAGAAAGCGCTATTTATGGACTGCCTTTGGACCAACCCAGGCAGTGGCAATCCAGCTTTGGGTGGTGAAGGGCACCCAAATCCCACCCTGGCTTTTCCCATCTGGGAAGCAGAGGAAGCAAAGCCCCTGCTCTGGCCCAGCTAGGTGCTGAGCAGTAATAGATATGCTACAACAGCTTTCCTCTATAAGCACCTAAATCCCATCACTTCCACAGGCAGGAAGATGCATCCTCTCAAAGAAGCCTGATAGCCTCCAGCCTCCAAGGCAGGCATGGCTGCCATGGATGACGTGACCATGGTCCTGCAGCCAGGAGCACCAGCTCCCATCCTGCTTCTCACCTGCCAAACTCCCAGCTCCCTGCAGCATCAGGGATGGGGTATACCAGAATCTACTGGGCTGAAGCTGTATCTGTGGTGGATTTCACATGCCAAACACTGGTTTTCAAAGCTAGTCTCTCCCCAGCATATTTAAGGCTCAGCCAGTAATGACAGTGCTCCCTCAGTGACAGGAATGGGCTGGAGAAGCAGGTGATGGGCAGTGGTGTTCTCTGCACTACCACTGCTGAGATCACCTTGGTCCTTATCACCATCTAGAGTTGGTGATGGCAGGAAGACTCAAGGGCTTCCTCAGCTTCTATAGTTTCATCCAGCCCAGCCCTGGACAAACATCTCCTAAGGACACTCCTTGGAAAAGGTGACTGGCTGATAAATGATGAGATTGAGAAAAAATAATGCAGCTTGCTCAGAATGGCTGAGGGTCAGCAGCAAAGCACTGCCTGTCTCCTGACTTGGGATTCCCCAGGAGGTTGAGGTGCCAGCCCACCCACATGCCTGCATGGAGCAGGGGTATGGCTGGGATGAAGCTCAAGTGCCCCTCCTAAACTCAACTCACTCCCAAGGCAGTGCTGCTGGAGAAGCCGCGACTCTACCCCAGCACTCGCGGGTTTGGCACACACCAGCCCAAAGATGACATAGGGACAGTCAGCAGCCAGCTCCCACCTGGCCTGGGGCAAAGACCTTCCAGTTATCTCAATCTTCCATCACCACAGGAGCTCCACACCTAGACACTGAATTTGAAACCTAATACTTTGAAAAAATAATAAAGCAAGGCATATTTAATCCAACTGAGCTGGAGAAGACAGATCTCTGCCCACTTCATTTCTAGAGGCTTATGAAATACACACAAGGGATAGTGGAAACTATCCTTCTTTGGAGCCCAGAGACACTTCTGATGGACATGCAGCTGTGGAGATGGCAAGGGACATGTAGCAGGGGACACAGTGAAGGCACAGTGAGGTCAGAATGATGCCCAGCGTGGTAGAAGGCGGTTTCTTGATGCAGCAACAGCAGCTGTGCAGGGTTAGGATGGGTGGATCCTCTGTAAGGTATTTGAGTAAGATTGAGGCACTAGGCTTTATCCAGCACCCTCTGCTCTGCCCAAGGACTTCATTGGAGCTGCCAGTGCCTCAAAACCTGTGTGTACTAATGACAGAGCTGAGGCTGCTAATACAGGACCAGCTAATGAGGGCAAAACTGACTTGAAAAATCACTGATTTCTCTGTGATGCTGTAGGTTCCACAACATCGAGATTATGGGAAATCCAACATACAGGATTACCTATACTAGATAATCAGACAAACTATGAAAGCAGCTTCTAGAACTTTCTCAAGGTCATGGTAACAAAATTTCATTATAAATCATGAGTACACCAGAAAGACAGATCTTCCAAAATCAGTCAATGTCATGGCTAACTTCTGAGCTTGCTCTTGCTCCATGCAAGCTCATTGAACTTCATCTTCTTGACCTCATTCTGAATCCTGCTGCAGCCCTCAACAAGCTGCCTGTGAGAGCCAGCACAACACTCCTGCTCTGCAGTGCACTATCCCATCTGCTCAAGCACCTGGTAAAATCCTTTTTCCCACTCTTGAAAGGCCTTTGCCACCAGGGATGAATCCTTTCTGTAGGCATGCTTGAGCCTTCACTGACCTCACAAGGTGAATGCTTTATTGAGGGCTTACTCTTACCTGCAGAGCGTAGCCAGACCACAACAACCCTTCCCTAACCAGGAGTGGAAAATCCCTCCACTGTCTGGCAGGACTACACACCCATGGGTCTGTGCCAACAAATTTGCCCAGCAGACCATGCTAAGCACTAGTGCCAATGGTCAAATTCCAAGCTCAGGTACTTGCACTCAACCAAAATCCACTAAAGGTTTTGAAGAATGTGCAGTGATATAACAACAGTGATGAAGGCAATATTATGCTGTGGTATCTAGAGATGCCTGGAACAGGAGATGATCAGGACCAGCATTTCTGACATTTCTTCTTCAAGACCTTTAGTTCCACATGCTTACTCAAAAAACCTGAATGTTCACAATGTACACTGTGGAACACCCAGGCCAGAAAGAAAAAAAAAACAAGCAATACTCACCCATCTCCTTAAGCTCCATGTTAACAAGTTCCAACCAGCAGGCATCGAGCTCATCCAGGTCATAGCGACTCATTCCTTGCAAATAAGTCCTTGTAGCTTCTGAAATCTCAGAGCCAGGCAGGCTGCTCGGTGAAACCCGTGAAAGCGAGCTCTCCAGCTGGGGGATGATCCTGGAAGAAAAGAAAGGGAGGTTGAGAAATAGCTACAACTCAGAAAAATGCTGTTTCTTGCCACGGAGAGTGAGACCACACTGGGTACCCAACTCTGTGAAGGAAAGCAAAGCCACTGCACCTGAAATCAGCCCATGGGCTGGCACTGATGGCCCGAGCAGAGCAACTACAGCAAGAGTGTTCCCATTCATCTACAGAAATTAACTCCTTACATGAGAAAAATGAGGTGCAAAGGAGATGATCCAAGTACTGACAGCAAGTCCCCCAGCCATTAACTCCTCCATTAATACCTCCAGTGTGCCATACACTGCGCTGGGCAGCACTCTGGCATGCCTAATACTGGAGAACATCCCATGGTGGCCTGTGAGATTTGTTCTGAGTGCTCTCTAATCTCAACCATAGGGATGGGGAAAGAAGCTGCCTCATCTGCTGCAAATTCCCCACACAGAGAGCAACCAGGCGCTAGCTGTCAGCTCTTCTGCCTTTCCTTGGCAACTGTGCAGCAATATGCATGATACTTGCCATGCACATGTCAACAGTGTCATGCCTAATGACATGCAAGAAAAAAACAGTCCTCCATTTGCAATGAACGCTTTGGTTGGGAAGAGCTGCCTGAGCAGGCATGAGGTCAGGGCATAAGCCTTCATTAAGCCGAGTTACACAAGCTGCTCACCCAACATCCCCTGCAACAGGTGATGCTCTGACACCGAGCCAGCCACGGATGCTCAGGATGGCAAGAGGAAAGAGCTGCTATTTTTACCCTGGCATAAAATTGCAAAGATTTATGCTCTCTGTACATATCAAAGGAGTATCCTGAACAGGTAATTTACTGTATTGACAGCACTGAAATGCAATCGGTGTGATAAGGCTGCTGACGTGCCTGGGGTTATCTCACACAGTGCATACGATACTGCCTGCCAAGAGCGGTGTGTGGGACACAGCATCTGCCTGAGCCTGGGCTTGTCCACTCCCACCTGGACACACAGCCTCCACCTCCTTTCTGCAGATATCTTATGGAGAAGTTTTGCTGAACCTGATGCTCAGGAGACAGGAGACAAGTGACTCTCCCCTCGAGTCATGTACCCACCTCTCCAGTGTTTCCCCCCACCAAAACCTGGATTCATCTTTAGACTCTCAGGTCCCGGCTTTGCGCAATCCCTGGTGATGATCATAGGGAGCCCGGGGGCTCACTGATGATAAAAGTTCCACCAGCACTCAACGTCCAGGTTTTTCTGACACTGTGATTAAATACAGTTTGCTTTGGTTTAATGGGAACTGGCACTTAAAAAGTGACATTTTGCCTCTCACCACATCACTGATGATGAAGATACAAACATCTAACAAGCTCACCAGCACTCTGTTAAAAGGTTTGAAAAGTGCCAATGCAGTGATGGCAGGTGCCTCTCCCCATCTGGGAACACAGGGATCAAGGAGGGATGATAAGTGCTGCAGCACTCAGCAGCCACTTTCCTACAAAGAGTAAGTATTAGTATGAAAAGTATCTTCTTAAGAGGATTACTAAACTTTATTTTTGAGGTTTCCTCCCTGTAACCCCATGCTGATCTGACAGTGTAGGCTGGGATCCCTTGGAGTTAATTCAGGCTTGGGGATGCTGGGACATGTTTGTGCCATTTTCTCACCCTTTCAAATATCAGTAAACACAGAAGGTCAGAAACAAAGAAACTGAAATAGCTGTTAAATTATTTTTTATACAAGTGAGAAGGTTGTATAACCCTATGAAGACCTGCTGGAAGCCTGGCCCAGATCAACCCCCTGACCTACCTGCAGCAGTTAAACATCTCAGTTAAAGACAAGGGCTTTATGGCTTGTAAACAATTCAGCAAACCCTAAGAGAGGCTGTGCCTGTTCTCATGAACATTCCTTCCACCCCGAGGGGAGCTGGAGGCTGCCAGAGGCTGAGGCTCACATGGGGCATCCCAGGCCTCTTGGAAGACCAAGCAGGATGCGACGCCCAGAGGTGCACAGCCTCCCACTGATTCCTGGATTTGCTTTGGTGGATAAAATTACAATCCTAAAAAGCAGCCCACTCCTTCCTGACACATGCTAACGCACCTGCAAAGGGCTTCTTGGTGTTGAGATACAAAGATCAGTGACTGCAGTGACAGTGCCTTAGGCTCAGAGGAACTTCGGAAGGAAGAGATTAAGACAAGAGAGCAATCCTTTGGGAAAGGCCATGCCCTGCCTCAAAGCAATACAGAAAACAGACCAAGCTGGGCACCCTTCCTCACCTCCAATAGCTTCAAGAAACTGAAGCCCCAAAAGCTGCAAGCTTTGTGCTGTTCAAACACTGCAGCAGAGACATAGTAAGGAAAAGGGAACAAAGTGTCCCCTCACCAGTGTCTATCCATCTCCTCTTGGGCTCCAAGAGCTGCGAATATCATCAGGGCTCACTTTGTGCAGGGACAAGTCTTAATCCATTGGGAAACCACTTTTTCCAAACAGCTGCTCAGTGGACAAAGAAATACCCAGGCTGGGTGATGAGGAGTCTGCACATGAAGCACCAACCCACCCGAACTCCCTGCACCATCATGGCAAAGAATCACAGAAGAAAAGCCTCCAGACCATTCACAGAAGCTCAATTACACAGGAAGAGCATTTACTCCTTTAATTTATCCAGCCAGCCAGAGACACAGTGTTTTTTAAAAATACTGTATCAATCAAAGGCTCATTTAAACAAAGGGCTGAAAATTTGGATCAGCCTGAAAATCACAACAAACCTGAGGCCATTAGTCTGAAAGTGGGTCTCAAGGGCATTTGAGGAAAAAGAGTAAGTGGACCCCAACACTCTTGAGGATCATATCTATCCCTGGAGAAGTTTACATAGAAATAAAATATACTCAGCAAATTCCCATGGTTAATCATCTCTGTAAACTGAATGCTTCACTGGGCTGAAGGGAGAAGGCATTTTTTTCTGTATGCTCCCTTTTAATATATCAGATAGAAATAATTAAACCTCCAAAGTATTTCTCATCTATAAATACTTAATTTTATTACAACGAAGGCTTTAGTCAGTCATCTTTTCTTTACCTCCATTCCAGTCTAAATTAGTCTTGTCTGATGTCCATAAATAAGTCAGCTTAGGAAAGTCAGTGGAAAGATAGCTGTGCCAGACACCTTCACTGAATGCTGATACTGTTACTACTGGCAGCTCTGCTTATGGGGGAATTCTCCTGTGGCACACAAACAGCTTTAAAAGGGCAATTTAAAGGGATGATTTTCACTTTCTGTTTATTAAAATAGTATCTAGTAGGCCATTTGGACCGGATGCCCCATTTTCTTATGAACTTAAGCTAAAAGATTTTGTAGATGCCATTGCCTCTCAACAGCAGAGCAGAATTTAAGATAGAAAAAGTGCCTGGGGGTATAAGGGTGAAAGATGGGATTGGAGATAGTGGTGGATGGTCACAGTAATGAGCCACAACCCACATACAAGGATTTGTGACCCTCAGCATACCCACACCCAGATTTACTAACCATGTTACTCCTACTTCTTGTATTTTTACGGCTTCTAGTAAAGACTATAAAACCATGAGCCAGAAACTGTACTCCCAAAGCTGGGTTCAAAGATGAAAGGGAACACAAAGAAGAGAATATACGTTGAGGTTTTAAATTAAGTGGCCTAATGTTCAGACCTGCAATCAAGCTGGCCTGACCAGCTGGATGAGCCTAAAAGCGTCTTTAGGATCCAGATCTTGGTGCTAACCAGAGTCTGTTAACACATTCTCCTACAGATGGAGAAGAGAAGGCTGGAAGCAGCTGGTCCCAGAGAGAGAGAGAGGAGAGAGGTGATACAATGTATCTCAACAGGCCACTGTCACCAAACCCTTTTATGTTAAAACAAACCTGAGCAGAATGAGATGGCACTGCTGGGACCAATTTGTGCAGAAAACAAACAATCTGCAGTATTTCCTTATTGGCTGCTGGAGCCAAAACCCCTTCAAGATTTGGCAATAGCCTCTGAAAATCCATGAAAATTCATCATATGTACATCAGCAGAGCAGCCATGAGAAGGGGAATCTGGGTCTGGGAAGGGGAACCTCTGATGGCTGATGGCCTGGTCTGACACTCATTTTGCATCATTTGTAGGCTATCTTCATGGCAGGAGCTGTAACAAGCACATTCCTAGCAAAAAAGGTTGACAGAGGGAATTCAACATCAACCCTTCCTGTGTACATCCATGCTTGAGCAAGCTCAATGCCACCGTGCAGTTTGTCCTCACTGCTGTTGATGGGCACAGTGGGTGGCTGGGCTGGCACTGCCCTTTGCTATAAACCTAAAACCTCCTTTAAGCGCTTGTCCCAAAAAACCTGCACAGGCAGTTACACACAGAGTCCAGCCATGAAGCTCCATTCAGCTTTTGCTTCTGTACTGAAAGAACAAAGCAGCTGAATTTGGCTGCAGGAGGATCCACCAAGCTCTGGTAACAGGAGCAGCTGTGCTCAAAACGCACCCCCTGACTGCAGAGATACTGGTGGCTAATGCTCAGCTCTGTGAAGGTCGCTTTGTGAACCCAAGTAGCACTGAGGATGCTCAGGAAGGGGTTAATGCTGCTTGCAGCAGCGTCCTGCCCTCCCAGTACCAGCAGCCAGTGAGTGCAGCTCCAGGTGACGTAATGCCTGGGTGGCTGTGCAGGCTGCACTCCCCATCCCTCCTGTGCTGGAGATTCGTCAGGGATCACAGGATGCGTCAGGGACTTGGCATGTCTCAGGGACCCTGCTGTCCTCTGCCAGGCAGGGACCAGCCCAGGACAGAGTGGTGCAGCTACACCCACTGTCCCTTTAGCTGCTACTGCTGTCTTTCCCAGCTGAATTCTGATACTCGGCACTATCTAGTGAATATCAGAAATTTTCATTATCAGCTTTTAAAACATCCCCAGCCATCGGGAGCTTCTGATCTATGAGCAGCACAGCTCTGCAGGGCACAGCCTCGGCACAGCCTTGCCACCCGCAGCTGCTGGCACATCAAACTCCTTTTGGCTC